TATTAGTAATAGTAATAGTAAATATCTAGTATCTATAGTAAGCATATATAGTATAGGTAGTAATTAAGACTCTAATAATATCTTAATTCTTTAAAAATTTAAGATAGGAGTTAAGATATTAGAAAGAAGCTTTTAATAATATATTATATAATATTAAAATCTTTATAAATTTTAAAAGTATATTATAATACTTCTTATAATAAGAATTTTTAAATAAAATAATATAATTAGTAAATCTAATCTAGAGATTATAAATTTTTAACTAAAATAAATTAAGAATAATAGGAAAGTATATAAATTAAATTATAAGAAAAATAATATTTTTTTTAATATAGTTATAAATTTTTTAAATTAAATAAATAAAATAAGTAATATAGCTAGACTTTACTAGAATATTATTAAATTTCCTTAATAAAATAAGATTCCTTAATAATAATATCTCTAGTTAATTATTTATAATCTAATTATAATCTATAAAATATTTACTCTTAACTCTAGAATTAATTATTATAAAAATTAGTAGAGTCTTATTAAAAGTTTCTAGATTAATAAGTAAGATTATTAATTTAGATTAGTAATTTTCCTCCTTTACTATTATTCTAGCTATTATAGCCTTTAATAGGTAAAAGGAGTACTAGAAGTATCTTTAATTATAACTTAGGTTAAGAATACTCTATTTTCTAATTTAGAAGATATAGGATATTTAGTAGGTAGGATTCTAGTTAATAAGGAATATAGATTTAATTTAATAATAAATATAAAAGTATAGCTAATTAATCTTTAATTAAGGTATAGGTAGCTACCTACTAGGTAGTTAATATTACTATAGTAGTAATACAGGTATTAGATTTAATAATTAAGGTAATAAGTAATAGATAGGTCTATTAGATTTTTAATAGGAGTAGTAATAATAACAGGATTAATAAGAATTATAAGAATTTAGATAATAGGAATTAGCTTTAAAATAGATTAGAAAGGCTAGAAATTCTTTATAAATAGAGATAGGGTAATATTTATATAATAATAGTAGTAATTTTCTAAATTTTATAGATAATTAATAAAGTTATAATATTATAATAAAGCCTTAAAATATATTAATATTTCTTAAAATTCTTAGTTAATAGCCTATTCTAGAATTATAAGTAAGATATCTTTATTTATATTTTCTTCTAATATAAGATATTAAAATTTAGTAAAAAAAATATTAAATTTATAATAAATTTATTAAAAATAAAATAAGTTAGTATAAATATTAGTTTCTAAATTTAGATTTTTAAAAGTTTTCTTTAAGATTTCTAAAATCTTAATATAATTACTTAATTTATAAATTCTATCTTAAATATATAGTAAGATTTAGATATATAAAATTTTTTTAAAGTAATTAATTATATAAGTTATTCTACTATTTAAAATTAAAAAATAATTAAGATTTATAATTATTTTCTAATAAATTTAAGAAGTAAAGTATCTTAAGTTACTTTATTAGTTATTAAACTTATTAGGGTTAAGAAGTTATTTAAAGATTTGAGTAATAAAAATAGGCATGATAAAAGTAATAATAATAATAAAAAGAGTAATAATATTAATATCTCTTTTAGAAAGAGATAGTAATTAAAAAAGTATATTATTTTAAGTAAGTACTTTAAATAACTTTTATTAAATTTCTTTAACTTATATCTTCTAGTACTTAATTATACTATTTTTCTATTAAATATAGTTAAGAAGATTAGTAATAATAAAATATAAAATAGATAATTTATAGAGTTCTTTTATAGTAATAGTAGAGAACTAGTATATCTTAGTAATATATTATCTTAATTTATCAGGGGTATTATATAAGAGAGTTTTTATATTTTTAGGTAGTATAGGTAGTAAGGTAGGTATAATAGTAGTAATTAACTCCTAATAAAGAGGAGCTATATAATATTAGGGGGTAGAATCAGATTTAGATATTTATTAATTAGGAGCTAACTAGATAGAATAGCAGAATAGTAGGTATTAGGTAATAGACAGGATGTAGCTTAAAGAGCTATAATAGGATCAAGAACAACATAGCTTAAATACAGGGATAAGGGTGGATAGTCAAGGCAGAATCTAACTAGATAGGTACTACAGCTTCGCGCCGTGACAATTTTAGTATAATTATTTAGTTTATAGATTCTATCTTAAATATATAGTAAGATTTAGGTATATAAGATTTTTTCAAGATAACTAGTTATATAAATTATTCTACTATTTAGGATTAAAAAATAGTCAAGATTTATAATTATTTTTTAATAAATTTAAGAAGTAAAGTATCTTAAGTTACTTTATTAGCTATTAAACTTATTAGGGTCAGGAAGTTATTTAAAGATTTAGATAATAAAAACAGGTATGGTAAGAGTAATAATAATAATAAAAAAAATAGTAATATTAGTATTTCTTTTAAAAAAAGATAATAATTAAGAAGGTATACTATTTTAAGTAAGTATTTTAAATAATTCTTATTAAGTTTTTTTAGCTTATATCTTTTAGTACTTAATTATACTATCTTTCTATTAAATATAATTAAAAAGATTAATAATAATAAAGTATAAAATAGATAATTTATAAAGTTTTTCTATAATAGTAATAAAAAATTAATATATCTTAATAATATATTATCTTAATTTATTAGGGGTATTATATAGGAGGGTTTTTATATTTTTAGGTAGTATAGATAATAAGGTAGGTATAATAGTAGTAATTAACTCTTAATAAAGGGGAGCTATATAATATTAGGGAATAAAATTAGATTTAGATATTTATTAACTAGGAACTAACTAGATAGAATAGTAGAATAGTAGGTATTAAGTAATAGATAGGATATAGCTTGAAGAGCTATAACAAGATCAAGGATAATATAGCTTAAATACAGGGATAAGGGTGGACAGTCAAGGCAGAATCTAACTAGATAGGTACTATGGCTTCGCGCCGTGACACCTTAATTATATTATTAAATAAGACTTTTTTTATCTTTTCTAGCTAGTCTAGGAACAGGCCTTATTAATAAAAAATATTCTTTTTTTATAACAAACTATAGGAATATAGCTACTAAATCTAGAAATAATTCTAGTTTAATTTAATAAGTAGAATAACTTTAGGCCCTTCTTAAGTAATTTTTTATACTCTATTCTATAGGTAGAGAACTAGTAGAAGATTAAGAAACTTTTAAATTAAGTTATTACTAATATATATAATAAAAATATTAAGAAATTAAGTTTAATAATATATTATCTTTTTATAAAGAATATTATCCTAAAATTATATTATTAAGGCCTTGAATTAGTTCTCTAGAATAAGAAAAAAAAATATTAATATAAGAAATCTTTATAATTTAAGCTTATAATTTCTAAAAATAATAGTATAATTTTTTACTCTTCTTAAAAGATTTAATAGGCTTGTAATCTTTAAATATAAAAAAATAAAATTATATAACTTACTAAGGTATTAAAGAAGTAAGAAAAGATTTATTAATAATTTATTAAAAAAAAAAAATAATACTTACTTAAAAAATAAAAAAAAAATTAAGTATCCTAATAAAAATTATAGCTACTAGAGATAGAGTAAAAGAAATAATAAAAGAAAGATACTTATCTAGTAAAGGAGGTAAATTACTAGCTTTAAAATAATTTTTAGTAAGTAAAGAAGTTTCTAAAGAAGATCTCTAAAGTTTCATGCTAGTAAAAATCTATAAAAATCAGGCTAATAATACTTATAGAAGTCCTAGAGGCCCCTCTAATAATAAATTATTAAGGCTGCAAGATCTGGCTCCTATAGTACTTTTAGACTAATTAAAAACTATATATAAAGTCCTAATAATAACTATATTTATTTACTAAAAGATCACGTGATAATAATAATTATATATGGTTAAATTGCTTCATATTTAATATTGCTGGTGGTGGTGAAATCGGGCGTCAGGTGGGACCGGGCGTCAGGTGATCACCGACTGTAGCGGTTTAGGTGGGCAGAAAGGCATGGATACAAGCTAACTACTTCTCTGACATGTCTACCAATCTCATCATCTTGAGAAACCCTATGAGAGATTCTTAAACTACTTGGTTTGCGTCCAGGGGTGGTGTTGGTTACCAGGCGCCTTCGGACAATATCACCTCTCTCCAGCCAGGACTAATTTACCAAACATTCTCCCGAGAATAGAATATCATTGACCGTCCAGTCCCTAGCGCAAACATGACATGATCTCGGGATCCCCGCAACAGAAACCTAGGAATGGAGAGGGTGGAACCCCCCCGCAGGGTCTCTCGAAGTTGCAACTCGTCAAGTGGGAGTGAGCCTCAAAGCCAGCTCTACTACATACAGGATTGACTTATTCGGGATCTCATCCGCCATCTCAAGTGTCGAGGACATCGGACTCATCGGCTAGAATCATGCCTTTTGATGAGCAAGATTAGTCTGCTATTTGCCAGGTTACTGTTGAGTGCTGGCTTCAATCCCTTGAAACTAGAGAAATTATGCTATGAAAGCTTGTGAGAGATGCCGCTGCATAATACATAATGATGATGATACATACTCCCCTCTTCTGCGATTAGGCACTTGTCTCACGCCATATTCCATTCATCGTTTGAGCAGCGGATTTTGGCATAATAATGGCTAACGCCCGAAAATATGACACCGTCGTTTACTTGCCCACGTTGGAACATCACAGTGTTAACGGGCCTCTTGTGCCTTATAACCCCCCTGGCTTAGTGTTCTCTAGAAATCAGCCTCGCATTTTCTTCGCACCTATTACTCTGGGCTTGCCCCTCGAGACGCACACATTGTCTCGGAAATGCCGAATTAGAACCCCCCGGTTTTTTTTCGCCCTCTCTTGGTATCTTGGGTATATCTTTAAAGTATCTTATATGGGCGACACATACATTTCGCTCTCGCCTCCCGTATCATTTCCCACGCCACTTCATTCTTGATTTATATTATCTGGAATTAGGGGGACTTCGCATTTCCTTGAAAATATCTTGAGGATGATTCGTGATAATACAAGGGACCTGGGAGAGCCCGTCGGGCCTACCAGGATTTCGCATTGGCGCCTTCTAATTGACCAAGGCGTTGTCACGGATGAGATTCTAAATCATACATTTGCTGGATCGGGGACTGAAGATGACCCTTATCTTGTCACTTGGATTCCCAACGATCCACGCAACCCGATGACCACACCGGTGATAATGAAATGGATCTACACCATGGGGATGGCGTTTGCTACTTTGGCGGTGTCCTTAGTTTCCTCTGCCTATACTGGGGGCATCGATCAGATTATTGAAGATTTCCAGGTCAGCGCCGAGGTCGCCATCTTGGGTGTGTCCATGTATGTGTTGGGATTTGCCATAGGTCCTTTGTTCTGGGCACCCATGAGCGAACTTTGGGGACGGCAGAGGCTGTTTGTTATCAGCTATTTAGCATTGACGGTGTTCAATGCCGCTGCGGCAGTGTCTAAGAACATCCAGTCCCTAGTTATTTTTCGCTTCTTATCAGGCACCTTTGGCTCTTCTCCTCTCACCAACGCTGGCGGAGTTATCGCAGACTTATTTCCCGCCAGCCAACGCGGCATCGCAATGAGTGTGTTTGCATGTGCTCCCTTCCTGGGCCCTGTTATCGGGCCTGTGGTTGGCGGTTTCGTGGGCATGAATGTCGGATGGCGATGGGTGATGGGCGTTCTCGCAATCTTCTCTGGGGCTCTTTGGATCATAGGCACGGTGTTGGTACCAGAGACCTACGGCCCCGTCCTCCTTCAGAAGAGGGCAAAGACGTTATCCAAGATCACGGGGAAAGTCTACCGAAGTAAGGTTGAGGTAGAACAAGGAAAAAAGTCACTCTATAGTGCACTGAAAATGGCGCTATCCCGCCCCTGGCTCCTTCTCTTTCGGGAACCTATCGTTCTTTTACTATCAATTTACATGGCGATCGTCTACGGTACCCTCTATATGATGTTTGCTGCATTTCCTATTGTGTACCAAGAGTTGAGGGGCTGGAACCAAGGGGTTTCAGGGCTGGCATTCCTGGGAATGATGGTCGGGATGATGCTTGCTATTATTTACACCCTCTTCGACAACAAAAGGTATATCGACACGCAAAAGGCTCACGGTGGATTTGCTCCCCCAGAAGCTCGCTTGCCTCCATGCTTGGTTGCGTCAATTGCAATCCCAGTCGGCCTCTTTTGGTTCGCTTGGAGCAACTCGCCTTCCATACATTGGATGGCTAGTGTCGCGGCTGGCGCCCCGTTTGGGTTTGGCATGGTCTTGGTTTTCCTGAGCCTGATGAACTATCTGATCGATGCCTACACTATTTTTGCCGCCTCCGTGCTTGCTGCCAATTCTGTTCTCCGTTCCCTCTTCGGAGCGGTGTTCCCGCTCTTTACAACCTACATGTACCAAGACCTGGGGATTCACTGGGCATCAAGTGTTCCGGCATTTTTGGCGCTTGCATGTGTCCCCTTCCCATTTTTGTTTTACAAGTATGGGGCAACAATACGTACGCGGTGCAAATACTCGGCCAAATCAGATGCCTTCATGAAACATCTCATAGAGGAGGCTGTCAGAGATTCGCGGGGGCCAGAGTCGGACAGTGAAAGCAAGGTGAACCTTCCTATGCGCGACGAATTTGAGGATGAGCATGTTGGTCCCGATGCTGGAAGTCGCACACCTGGCCGGGATGGATATGGCCGTGCACGCTCTGTTGTGTCCCATAAGTCGCACCACTCCGAGGTCATTACAACTCAAACTGTGTACGATGCAAACCCGTATGATATTGACCGGGTGAACACTCGCGAATCCTTCAAAGACTAGTCCAATCTATCATTACTCCGTACAAAAGAACGTGCGGACAAAATCTCCATGTGGCACGTGGCTCATTGGAACAAAAATTGAATTGTGGAAATATGGAATTATATCCCCTTTGGGTATGAAACGTAATTTTGAAACCTCTTTGGGTCTTAGCGGTAAACTATGAAAGCGGCCGCCATTCCTATTTAGGCAGCATCGTGTGGATCACGTGGAGACGTGTTTGAACGTGTTATCCCCTAGTCCAGATTAGTAATAGCCCCGTTTACTAGTAAACTATTAGCTCGCTATTCTTCGTTTCTTCGCATGGGGGAGATTGAGCCTCTCTCTTCTCTTCTCTCGCCCGTCATCAAAGCTTCGGGATTGAAGGTATCCATTGCAGACATCTATACCTAGTCGGTAGCATGGGTGCCCCGTCGAGGAAGAGAAACATCGATCAAATTGATCTCACTGTCAGTGATGGTGAAGACTCGAGGTCAAAGGTTCCTTGTATCTCCGGACAGCGGTTCGGGCAGGATACAACCTTTGTGCCTCTCAGCCAAGCATCGCAAGTCTATGTTGTAGAAGATGAAGACGATGCTCAGGCTCTGATCCAAGGAAGTCAGGAGGTTGATGATTCTGAGGATGTCGCCCGTTTGCACTATGGGGACTTGCAGACCAAGATTGTAGGCGTTCGTTACTACGCAGGACATGCAACCATCGGTGAACGTGTTCTTTTGAAGCGAGAGCCACACAACCAGTATGATACCAATGCAATCCGTGTTGATAATGTTATGGGTGTGCAGGTTGGTCATATCCCTCGCCAGGTCGCTGCTAAATTAGCCAAGTACATGGTTAGTCTCCCCCCCTTTTTTTCTTCCCCCCCTCAAAAAGCAAAATATCCAGCATTGTTTGATGTTGTTTCAAAGCTTAATGTTTTATATATATACATGTAGGACCAAAGCCTGCTGCTTGTTGAAGGCATTTTAACCGGAGTTAAGGGCTCTTTCGACTGCCCCGTTGTCTTGAAATTGTATGGCCCACGGGATCCTGCCAGAAGAGAGGCATTGAAAAGCCAGATGGTACAGGACAGGTTACCGCTCACAAGTCTGAGAGAAACGGAGCGTTATGAGCGCAAGCAACAGAAAGAGCGCGAGAAGGCTTTGAAGGATGCTGCCAAAAGAGCTCGTGCGATAGGACGTGGGACAGGAGAGGAGTGGGAGGCGACTGCGAATAGATTGGGATACACTAACCTCTCCTTTGACGAAGAAGGGCTTGGTGAAGGAGAGAGCCTGGAAGAACTTATTGGCCAGAGTAGCACCTTCAATCCACGCGAAATCGGCCAGGTGGCGGAGAGCTTTGGTATGAAAGAATCAGACTTGGAGAATATGCCCATGGCGGATAATCCGCCCTACTTGTCTACCACACTCTTACCATATCAACGCCAAGGATTGGCATGGATGATGAGCAAAGAGGACGCTCGCATGCCTGATCCTGGCTCCAACGATATTGTGCAACTCTGGAAAAGACAAGGCAACCGGTACACAAACATTGCTACAAATTTCTCCACTTCTTCGGAACCGCCTCTGGGGAGCGGTGGCATTCTGGCCGACGATATGGGTTTGGGTAAAACAATCCAGATTATTGCTTTGATCTTAGCAAACTCAAATCCCAAAACACCAAAATCTTCCAGGACTACTCTGATTGTGTCCCCCGTTGGTGTCATGACCAACTGGAAAACCCAAATTAGGGATCACACAAATCCTGACCACACTCCACGCGTTTTGATTTATCATGGCACTGGTAAGAAGGAGGCAAAACAATTAGATCAATATGATGTGGTGATTACGAGCTATGGCGCTCTTGCTCTTGAATATCAGCCGAATGCCAAATCAACTCCTGGAAAAGGACTTTTCTCGCTCCAGTGGCGCCGTGTGGTTCTCGATGAAGGCCATACAATTCGCAATCCACGCTCGAAAGGTGCTCTGGCGGCTTCTAGCCTACGTGCTGACTCGCGTTGGACCTTGACTGGAACACCTATCATTAATACGCTGAAAGACCTCTACTCTCAAGTTCGCTTCCTGAAGCTCAGCGGTGGTCTTGAGGATATGGCCGTGTTCAACAGCGTTTTGATTCGACCACTCATGTCCGATGAAGCGGATGCACGTCTCCTACTCCAGGCGTTGATGAGTACGATCTGTCTGCGCCGCAGGAAGGATATGAAGTTTGTGAATTTACGTCTGCCCCCGCTGACATCCAGAGTTTTGCGCGTGAAATTCCATCCTCATGAGCAGAAGAAGTACGAGATGTTCCAGTATGCGTCCAAATCCCCCTTGATGATGATATCCATGATGCTAACGTAACTTGCAGGACTGAGGCTAAGGGAATGCTTCTAGACTTCAAGAGTCAAGACAAGGACGGTAAAGCAAGCACTACCTATTCTCACCTCCTCGAGGTAATTCTTCGCCTGCGGCAAGTCTGCAACCACTGGGCTCTTTGCAAGAACCGCATCGACAAGCTTGCAGATCTCCTAGAGAAGAATAAGGTAGTGCCACTTACGCCTGAGAACGTCAAGTCTCTCCAAGACATCCTCCAAATTCGAATCGAAAGCCAAGAAACATGCCCTATCTGCCTTGACACATTGGAACAGCCGGTTATCACTGCCTGCGCCCACTCATTTGATAGGAGCTGCATCGAACAGGTTATCGAAAGACAACATAAATGCCCGATGTGTCGCGCAGAAATCAAGGACAATACATATCTAGTCACACCAGCTGCAGAGATGGGCGAAAGCACAGATACTGTTGATGTGGACTCTGATTGCCCAAGCAGCAAGATTGAAGCACTCATCAAGATCCTGACCGCGAAGGGACAGGCCCAAGGCACTAAAACCGTCGTCTTCAGCCAGTGGACATCCTTTCTGAACCTCCTCGAGCCGCACCTACTTCGCTGCGGCATCCAGTTCGCCCGTATCGACGGGAAAATGAACGCCGTGAGTCGCGACAACTCAACCCACCGCTTCTCTACAGACCCCGACTGCACAGTCCTACTGGCCAGTTTGAGTGTATGCAGTGTTGGACTCAATCTCGTAGCGGCTAACCAAGCCATCCTCGCCGACAGCTGGTGGGCCCCCGCTATCGAAGACCAGGCCGTAGACCGCGTCTATCGCTTAGGCCAGAAGCGTGAGACGACTGTCTGGCGTCTTGTCATGGAAGACAGCATCGAGGACCGTGTCCTAGCCATCCAAGAACAGAAACGAAAATTGATGCTGGCAGCTTTTCGGGAAAAGGCTACCAAGAAGGCTAATGACAGGGCAACGCGCATGGTTGATCTTGAGACGCTCCTCACTTGACATTCCTTCTTCTTCTCTTCTCTTTTCTTTTCTTTTCTTTTTTTTTTCCATTTTCTATTGTTATCCCATACTCCTTGTTGGCCAACAGTCAAGTTTTATTTCAATGTATATTCGAAACAGGGGGGGGGGGGGTTAGTGGATTTTAACAGGGTTGCAATCTCTTTTCTTTCTCTGATTATCTACTTCAGGCGCTTGAACGGACCTCAGCCGTGAGCGTTTCCATTTCTTTTTTACAATATTATTTTCGGGGGCTTATATAAAGGGAACGTTTAATTGGACAATAAGTTTCATAAAACTTGAACAAACCATGGATATTTACTCTAGACATTACAGTAGTGTATCATGATCGTCGCCGTCTCCTCTTCGTGAATACATCAAAATCCAGCATGCTTCCAGAACCCCAAGCTCACCAAGGAAAGGATAGCGATAGTTAATAACCGGGGAATTTTCCGCAACAATCAAAGAGAGGCCAATGGAAAAGGATCTAAACTCCAATCAGGTGTCCAGCACCAAGTTGAATAATATCCTTAGAATGCCTTTGCACCGATAAAACGAAGAACGAACAGAAGGGGGCAATCATCGCTATTTGTCACTGGCGCCTGAAATCACTGAGATTTGCAGCCGCCGCCAGGTTCCCCCTGTGTTGGCTTCGAGGGGGTGTGCTTCTGCGGAGCCGGGGTACGCGGGGTGGTGTCTTTGGTGGTGGAGACCGGGGTATTATTGGCAAGCTGTTGAATAGGTTGGGTTGCGGGAGCCTGTGGATCGGGCAGTTGCTGTGGCTGAGCGTGTTTAGAGACCGGTGACGCATGGAACTGAGGCCTCGGTACAGCAGCCAAGGGGGGACTAGGGATCACCGGGCTGTGGCCAGGGACTGCGACTTGCAAGATACTAGTATCGGGTGCGAAAGCGCGTGGACCGGTATTCTGCGCGCTGGGTGGGAATGCTGGATGATGCATTTGCTGGAAAGTTTGGGTCGAGAACTGGGGCGTCGGCGTATAAACTTGTTCTTGTTTCTGTCTTTCCCTCAGTTTTGCAGTGTAGGCTACTGGGTCTGTGCGTTTGAGGCGCTCGTCGTCGAGTTCTTTCTGGACATCTCTCTTCTCCTCCTCGGTAAGCTTGTCGTTGTCATCCTTATGGAAGGTCTGGGTGAGGGTGATTCTGCGAATCAGTCTTTCTTCTCTATTCGCATCAACAAGGAGGATTTTATCCAGGACAAACGGATCTTTCTCCATGAAGCTGGAGACATCTTCCTGCTTCACGGGCTTTGCGGGGAAAAGATAATCGCCCAGCTTTTTGGAAGCGAACCGAATGGGATTTTTCTTGTCGACAACGCGGACTGCAAGCTGGGTCTTGAAGACTGCCTTTTGGTGAATGATCTCCTCGAATGTCCCGCCAGCGACGAAGCGGTATACGAATACCGGCTTCTGTTGCCCGAGACGGTACGCACGTCCGACGGCCTGTTCTTCCCAGACCGGGTTAAAGGAAAAATCGAAAATGATAACCCGATTGGCACCCGGGATATTCAGCCCCAACCCTCCGGCTTGGGTTGAGATCAGATAAACTTGCTCTTCATCTCCGGAATTGAAATTTTTGGTTGCCTGTTGTCGCGTAGAGATTGGAGTGTGTCCATCTAGGCGAGAATACCCACGGTTGGAAGCTATCAAGAGATGTTCGATGTAATCGAGGGTCGGCAAACTCTGAGAGAAAACCAGTACCTTATCACCGGCTTTTATGGACTCATCGATTATCATGTTCAGGATTTCAGCCCGAGGTGAAAGTTCCACGGCCATCATGTCGTGAATATCACGATAAATTAGCTCTTGCTCAGATAGAAGTCTGGATATATCCGGCAGACCGGCTTGGGTGATTGGTTCGTCCCCCGGAGCTGGGTCACTATCATCCAGCTTCCTTGTGGGCTTGCCGACACGGCTGCGTAATTTCTCCCTGAAACACGATGGATGGTTACAGCAGAGCCCAAGAATAGCCAACCACGACAAGATTCTGGCATTTCCAACTTCATCTTCTCTTCCCTGTAGAACAAACTGCACGTAGGAGTTATATGCAGCTTTCTGTAATTTGGACAAGGGTACAGTAATGACAAACTCGACTTTAGGTGGCAAACTCCCCTCTAAGACGCTGATATCGGCGCGATTAATTTTCGGTTCGAGGATTTCCTTGAGAATCTGGAGCCTCATAAGAGATTTTCTCCTTTCACCATAGGTACTGTCAGCATAGAGGCCTTCCTCAATAGGCTCTATATAATGCGCCTTGAACTCAGTGGGAGTTCCTAGATAGCCCTGTGCAATCCAATTGACCATGGTGTAATACTCAGTAAGATTATTGGCCAGAGGAGAACCAGTTAATGCAACACGGCTCTTTGAGCGAAATTGCATTGCTGCGCCAGTAACTGCTGACGATGGGTTCTTCATCTTGTGGGCCTCGTCAGCAATAATGATACTAGGGCCTTCCAGTAACCACTTTTGGACATTCTTGTGCTCAGTCTCAGAAAGCGGTTTTGGCCTCCTAGACGTTTCCTTGTTGAAGATCCAAGCTCGAAATATGTCATAGCTAATAAGAAGAACTCCACCCTCTTTGTACCAACTGGACACCTGATCCAGCCTGGAGGTTAGAGGATTATTAGCACAAATTCGCCTCACACGCCCAAGTCCTGAGTTTGTCGGAGCCCACATGAGAAATTCATCGTTCCAGTTCTCAATCAACGATGATGGGCAAAGGATAAGGGTTTGAGGCCGACGGAAAGTTTCCGGAACTTGCTGTTTAACTTTAGGGTCATCAGAAGCGGCAGCAGCCGCTATTGTACTAAGGAAAGATATACTTCAGAAAGTTAGTAACCAGGTCTCTCAATAGATCAATACAAAATTGAGTGGGCCTTGGAAAGGCCTGTTGTTGGTTTTGACTTACACCTGCATTGTTTTCCCCAATCCCATAGTGTGTGCTAAGAGGCACCCCTGTTGGCTCTTGTCCTCTACCAACTCTCGCCACATAAATTGGATCCCATTTAGCTGGTGAGGTTTCACTCGCAGGCCAATATGGGAATCCAAGTAGATGACAGGATCTTTGAAGCTGACTGGTTGGTGATTGGGGTTATCATTCCTCACGCCCATGCTTTCCAGTTTCTTCTCAAGTTTCCTTCTTTGCTCATCTTGGAGTGCAACTCGACGCTGTGCACCCTCCTGTGTCATTTTCACAGCCTGGTTCTCCTTAACCTCCCTTTTTCGTTTTTTATGGGGTGTGTTTTCAGGACCCGAATCGTGTAGTGAGCCTTTAGACACGGTCTCTGATTGTGGGGTTTTGGAATGCTCTAGTCGTTTGCGTAACTCTGCATAGAACTGCTTGAAGCGCTTTTCTTTCCGAGTTTTTTCGACGTACCTCTTCTTAATCCCCCCTTGTCCAAGACGGACACAATTCACCCAGGAGATATAGAGGGAGGCTGTTCGCATGGCCAGCTGGCTCGCATCATGACCAAATTCTGGAATATTGTCCTCTCCGTTGAGCAAAGCGTCTAGCGCCCGCTTCGTTTGCCTGCGTAAATCCGCCATGGGAGTTCCACAGATGCTTTTCCTAAGACTTCGCCTCTCTTTATCAGGAAGACTTGCAATTAATTTTGCCAATAATATAGTGCGATCCTGGTATTTTTCAAGCAAATCCCATTCGAGCGATAAGATACCATCTGTATCATCAATATCTGGCAAGACAGATGTTGATCTAATCTGGCTCTCTACAAGAACCTCGTTTGCTGACGGCCCAAGGCTAGGCGCGGGGGAAATGGAACGGCTTCTCTTTGATATAATGCGGCTAGAGCTGTGAGGAGTACTCAGTTGTACTGGGTTAAGGGGTGGTGTCTCTATTGTTAGCTCATCTGGCTCTGGCGATTCCATCGTAAGATCGATTACGCTTGACAATTCACGAACAGGAGAAGAAGAGGAAGATCTGGCTGCAAGAAATCTTCCCTTCCTAAGTGGCCTTGCTATTCGTCTGATACCAGAGACACTGATCACGTCATCGTCACCATCTGACGAAGAAGGGTTCTCCGAAGGACTTTGTGACAAAAGAGTATGAGGTATTTGTGTGTCATCAATGAAGTCTCCCAGAGAGCTATTAGAGACAATGTCGGACTCGGACTCGAGCGAGTCCTCTTCTTTCTTTGGCTGTTCTCTATAATATGAAGGCCTTGGGGGGGCGGGAACTTTTGGAGGACAACTTTCCTGTTCTAACACTGATGCACGCCACTTTTGCTTCTGAATGTTGCAGACTGTGTACTCGAGGCTTTGGCACTGGGTGCGCAATTCTGCGCCTGTGAGAAATTCACTTTTACGGATTGCCTCCTGTAGTTTCCGTAACCGAGTCTCTAGAAGTCCAATGTCCTTTGTGACAGCTTTGAGTTCTTGATTCGTACGATTAGCGTTTCTAGCAGTAATCCAAAGCTTTTGTGCTTTGTATTCCTCCCTAGGTTGACTGATTTGCTGCCACTTATGCTCATATTCTGAGATACAGTCCTGCATGATGGAATCAATTTCCATGGGTCTGAGCTTGGAGTGTTTCGTAAGCTGTAGTCCAGTACGCTCATCCTCTATCTCCCGCCAGGTTTCTTCATCAAATTCGCCTTCGGACCCAGAGTCTCCATACAGTGGATGAACGTCTTCAAGGTCTTCTTGAACTGGATACTTTTGAAGCAGGTACGAAAAGGGATCAGATGGGTTGAGAGGTTCGTTCGGTGAGTGACTTTTGTCATCAAAACTTCGCAGGTTCTTTAATTGTGGCCACTCATTAAGCTTTTCTCTGCTCCCTTTTTTTATCCCGTCCTTGGTGGTAGACAAAGTAAAACAGTTGGAATCGTTTGGGTTTACCAAGGATGATTTGTAGGGAAACACAGCCCATTGCGAACTTCCTTCCCTTGAAGGAAGCTTAATAGGTGATTGTCTCCAGAAATGGCTCATGAATTTATTCACAAAAGAACGCTGGGCATTTGGAATTTTAGGGGAGAGTAGTGTAAAAGATTCATTATCTCCGGCAACGTCAGGAAAACAAGATAGTTGAGACAGAGTAAGTGCTTCTGGCCCCATATACCAGTCTTGGGCTTGGAATCTATCATTGGGTGGCGCCGGTATCAAGTCTTGACCCTGGGTCTCCACAGGAGTATTGAGATTCAGTCTTCGCCTTTTCCTGCCATTTGCATCGACGATAACGTGTTCCTTGGGGCGGATGGGCGAAGGAACTGCGTTTTGAGAGAGCTCCCTCTGGTGCAAGGTGGGCAAGTCTCCTTGAAGCACGCTTGGTTCCCCATTGATATTCTCCACAACACTGGCATTTAAACCAGGGGTGCTAGCAGGGACCCCGACACCAGAGGTTTTACCAAATGGCGGGGTTGCTGGAGTAGCTGCTGGCGTTATTGTCTTAGAACTATTGGGTAGTGCATCCTGAGCAAAGGAAGACATTGGAGAAGGGGATTGTATCCTTGGAGAAGCCGTCTGTCCTGAGCGCGAAGAGTGAGAAATGGAATGCTGAAACTTCAATGATCGCTGTTGAAGGAACCGTATAGCCATCATAATGCAGCTGCGGTGACCAAGGGCTTTCAAACCTAGGTCATCTCGCAATGCATTTTTGTCCACATCTTGCAAAAGCACCTCCCCGTTAATGAGGTTCTCCCGAAGTGAAGCCTCAAAGGAGACAGGGTCTGGTCGAGGAACGCGTGAATTTGACTGCGACCATGGCGTCTGGGGATTATGGCACAAAAAGCTTACCACCTCGTCCACTGTCCAGTCGAGAGGGTCTCCAATATTGGGCTGCATCTCGTGAGGCGTGAAATCTACCTAGAGATAAGGGCGATCCCGGTGTAGCCCATCAGTGATTTGACCATTCAGATTGGATCATAGCCCTAAGAAATAAAAATAACGAAGACTGTTAGATTTTTTTTCTTTTTGGGGGGAGGGGTTTTGTTTTAAGCAGCCTCCAGAAAGGTTGGATATGGTTAGGATTTGCTTCCGCCTGATAACTTCGACGATTTTATAGCTATTAGTCAGCACCTGCTTTGTCACCCAAATGAATTGTTTGTATTTTCCTAAATAAGTTAGATTCCTTACCCCTATTTCTGCTGTATTGAATTGCAAGATACAGCTAGTGTATTTGTATTACCGTTCCCCTGGATTTTATGGATTCTGCCCGAGATAAATAAAAAGCGGTATGGAAAGCGGTAGATCTGATTGTGTGCCCGATTGATAAGAAGATGGATTATTAATTACCAAAAAGCCGATGCCCCTCATAAGACATTGCTGGAATCGAGACTTTAAAGTGCTCTGTCGACACTTTCACAGGGCTTTCTTTTTGCTATCGAACACTCGAAATCCCTGACATGAACCAATAGACCCTGGTCGATAGAAATTGATCCGATCCGCAATGTCGAATGCTGTTTACGAAAACTACCCCCCCGCCTTGAACCCCGCACAGAGGGAGTTCCTGGTGAGGACGATCAAAGATTGGACTACTCAGAATGGACTGATGGTCAGGCCTGCACCTACATTTGTTTCCAAAGATGTAAATCCTCATGGAGTGCTTGCGACAAATGCCCCGGTGACTTTGTTTCCTAGCCCTTTCCCGAGAAGCTGCTTTGAAGAGGCCGAGGCACTGCAAACGGTGTACAATAAGCTGTATGCAGCGATTACGTGTAATGAGGAATGGATTGGCAAAATCATGGAAGAGTAAGGCTCATTCCTAATCCATATTCTTGCTATTTGGCTTTGATACATCCGTACTGGCCAAGGTATACTCTATACACTTTTCACAAGGACGAGGGCTAAACTGGCAGTTAACTAGTCTTATTGACGTGGATGACTTTATTTCGAACCTGTGGAAGGTTCACCTCGCTGTTAAGAAGGAGGGTTATGTCCAGACTCTTTCTCTTGGTCTCTTCCGATCCGATTACATGCCTCATATTCCTTCGGACTCGGCCGTCCCGCAACTGCATCAGGTTGAGTTCAACACCATTTCTTCCTCTTTCGGCGGCTTATCGTCGCTCGTGGCATCCTTACATACCGAGCTTCTGAACTCCCCACCAGGCCATCCCATTGCCTATCCGCCTCACCCCCTACTTGAGTCCAACCAACCTCCAAAGAATACGGCCGTGGAGAGCTTGTCCGCTGGATTGGCTGCGGCACACACAGCTTATGGGTTATCCAGGTCGACCCCTGCTCTTCCTAGGTGCATTTTGTTCATAGTCCAAGAAAACGAAAGGAACGTATTCGACCAACTGGCGCTCTCCAGGCAACTCGCAAAGGTCCACAAAATCCCGGTTTTCCGTCTCCTCAGCTCGGAAGTTCTAGATCACACTACGATTCCCAGCTCAAACCCGTCCCGTCCTCTTATCTACCGCCCACCTCACGCTCCAGAGGGCACAGAGTTCGAAGTTACAACCGTATATCTACGATGCTTTTACACGCCCACTGACTACAAATCCGAACGCGATTGGGAGGCCCGAACTCAGCTGGAACGGTCTGCCGCAATCAAGTGCCCCACTGTTCTGAACCAACTCTCCGGGTCCAAAATTGTACAGCAAGTACTCGCGAGCACAACTGGACCCGACCATTTGAGCAGCTTTCTCGCCGATACCGATCCTGCCATCATCGCAAAGCTCCGAAACACCTTTGCTCCGCAGTATGACCTGTCTGAGGGCGGGCAAGGCAGAGAACTCGCTCTTAACCCGGAGACGGCAGAAAACCACGTTCTCAAGCCCCAACGAGAGGGCGGTGGTAATAACATCTACAAATCCGCGATCCCCGATTTCCTACGATCGATCCCCGAAAACGAATGGAAGCGCTGGATCCTTATGGAGCTGATCACCCCACCAGCGGCTGCGAAGAACATAGCCCTCCGGAGCGATGGGGAAGTCCTCAGCGGAGCCGTAATCGGGGAGCTAGGTATCTACGGTACAATCCTGTGGGACCAGGCTGGGGGAGAGATTCTGCGTAATGAGCAAGGCGGATGGCTGATGCGGACCAAGGCAAAGGATGTCAATGAGGGAGGTGTTGCGACAGGATTTTCCAGTTTAGATAGCGTCGTTCTATTTTAAGCACTAACTATGAGACGATAACCAGATGTTCCTTCCAAAAGCTTACACTGCATCCGTATATAATTCTAAAACATAGTCTCCATTCTAGTGCGTTCATTGTCGTTCAGATTAAGTTGTGCCAAGATGCCAGTACCATTTAGCGTTATATATCTTGAACTCAACTAACTACATGTGCATCCAGGGACAACAACAACGCTACCAACACACCACCACACGACGAAACCTCAAAATACTACTAGTACTTATCATGTCCAGTTCTTCAATCAGTGCAATTTAATCCTATTAATACATCAGTGCAGAAACACACCCCAGCCATGCCATGCATGCATGCCTCGCATTCAACATAGAAACAACGCCAACAACTCCTAAATGACATGACAACCCAAGCTAAGCTAACTTCCCGCTGCAACCCATTCGATCGAAACATAATGTACAGGATACAGGAACCGGAACCCGAGCCGCAGGCATGTGATCATGAACGCTGAAAGAGAAAGAGAGGGAAGAAAAAGAAAAGAGACAGGAAAAGAAACAGAAACAGTAACTGGAATCAGTATCACGGGTATATGATTATGAACATTAACGCTGAAAGAGAAGAGAAGAAAACTGAAACCAAGCCCTAGCTGAGGGTTGGTTGGTTGGTTGTAGTTCGATGGCGACGGTGACTTTCCATCGTAGCTGTAAAGATTATAGAAAGATTAAAAAAAAAAAAAAAAAAAAAAAAAAAAGGCTACATGTATGGCATGTCCACGAGATGCCGCGCACCAGCATAGTACTCTGCTAGCATTGCGTCAAACACGTTTGCTCGAACGCTTTCCTCGGCCGTGTTTAAACAAATCACTTCAACGGGTGGGAATAGTCCTAGAGTTGGAGACTGCGGCTTGTCAGGGAGACCAAGCGTCGGGTGAATCTCCTGGAGCGTTTCTTTGGGATTTTCCCGAATGAACGGGTAGCATTGCGCATTGCAAAAGCCCCAGGGAGAAACAGTGGAAGATGGGTTGAAAATCGAAAGGTCGCAGCCTCTATAAGCTGGGCGAGGGCGCATCGGGGTCCTCTCGCGCTTAGGCTGCGGTGTGGGGAGAGTGAATCCCAGAGATAGATCCAGGTCTTGCATGTTCACGGTGGAAGGGAGTTGGTCGTCGGGGATCTCCCCTCGAATGACAGGCAGGGCGGCATCGGGATGCTCGAGGGACTCATCGTAGGGCACGAAACTTTCCATAATCATGGACTCGTCGACAAGACACTCGGGTTTGAGAATGGTATCTAGTGCGCGCGACGGACCGGCTTGGACCTTCTTTGCGCGCTTCGCACGTTCTTTGCGTTTTTCATCGGAGTAGCCTGGGGGGTTGGGGATGCGGCCTCCCTCCTCCCCAAGATTAGGGTTGATTAAGCCGGGTGTCAGACCACGAGTGCTGTTGGCACTGAGATCGAGACCCTGTTCTTCCATCTTTTTCAGGACCTGCGCCTCGAGCTCGCGGCTACGCTTGTTTCCCGAGTCCCAGGCAATCATGTTGAATGCCTGCCGGAACCGCACGCCTCGCTGCTGCAGGGCATTTTGGTTCACTCGGAAGTCAGGATGCATGCGGTCTGTGATATCCTTGAGGTGGATACGGCGATCAAGACGCATCCACGCCTCGACTTGGTACTCTTCCACCGCTGATGAGATGTTATCTGGGAGGACAGACAACTCCCTCAAGTATCTCCCGTGAATTGGGTATGTCATTCGCGGCGGCTCCGTATTGCGGCTCACTTTGCCTTCAGGCTTGAACTGATACAGAATATCAGGGAGATGTGTCCAGGACCAGTGTGCTTGTTCGGGGTGGAGGAGGGTGCGGTTGCGAGGGTCCCTAACGTTAGGGCTATCCTGTCGAGGGACACATCTCGCTGCGGATTGTTAGTACTGGGGCGAATGACAAGGGGGGGTGGAGCTCACCTTTCTTGTTTGCTTTCTTCTTCGAGATCCGGTTCTTAGAATCATTCTGAGGCTTAATAACCTCCGGGGTCTCCTTCGTAGTGGCGGACATTGTTATGGTTTACTATATAAAGTCCGTTAGCCCTAGCCAATAAGGTCCACCATCACGAAATGAACAGAGCACTCGTAGATCAGCCACTGTACCTAAAATCAAATCTTTTTTTCTTCTTTGAGAATCAAGTAATAGGTCTCTTGAACGCTGATGTCAGCGGAAAATATCGGGAAATTCTGTGAGAAAAGGGTCCAGTAACGTTGCGAGAATGACTGAAGCGACGAGGGTTCTCCCAAGGAAAGGAGAAGAAGACCACAGAAAAACCTCCATATTGAAAGTCCAAGAAGAAAACCTATTGTTCTTCTCTTCTGGCCGCTGAACAATTAGGGAGGTTGGTATAGAACTCCTAATCGGGCGAGGTAGATTCTAATTGAGGGCAGCTGGTCGAGGAAGATATCGATATTCACTCATCTCGCGCTGCCGGCCCGGAGTTGCATCGATCCCGCACTTATCAAGGCCTACAGACGTTACGACCTGTAATATTGTATTCCCTAAGATTACCCCGAGGTAAAGGGGACTTCGACCTTCAAAATGAATCCCATATCAGCTATATGTCCAACACCTTTGGTCGTCTAGCACGAGGTTCTATGTGCTCTCCATGGGGTTGGCACTTGAGCTTCTGGACGAGCTCAGGGCCGGAATAGGAGACACCAGCCACCAGGGAGAAGAAGTGAGAATATTTCTAGAGTCAATCCTGAAAAGAAAAAGGCCGTATCCTGTTTTATAAGTTGCCTCCTGCTGTTACTCTAGCCCAGCCACTCCTACCTTCTCAATAATGCTTGCGTGGTATCTATGTTTAGAATAAGAGTCTCTTATTCATTCAGTTAGTGACAATGAAGATTCTGTTATGACAATAGATATAGAAGGTCACATACTGGTGACTCTTTTAGGTGGTGGTGTTTCAGGGTTGATTGTTATGCTTTTGACAATGAAACACAATATATGACAGAAGGCCATTGGCACCTGAATATTAGTAGTGGGATTTCTCCCATACTAATATTTGTTTCTTCTGGAGTACAATCTGGTGTCTACCATGGGTGTTGTGTTAGTATTCCTTGTAGACCGAGGAACTTCATGTAAAGTGTCATCTCATAACTGGCATAGTAAATGATACAGGTAGCTTGCAAGATATTGACATAGCTAGAATCATTGCATTTCATTTCAGTTACCTACAGGCTGTGCCTATGTAAAGAAAATACTCATACATTTCTGTGTCCCTTCCAACCCGATCCCCTCCGTATGCACATCCATCGCTGAATCGTCGCAAAAGCGCCCGTACACAAAAGCCCCAGAGACAACAGTAAATTACAAACCCCAGACAGCTCACCCTATCTGCAAAATACCAGATATTCCATCGACAGAGATATTCTGGCCAATCCATAACCGCTTAGGCTAGTTAGTCTCTCTGTCCATCGAGAGTGGCCCATGGATCCTGTGTTGCTGGCTCCAGTGCCATAGTAAATTCCACACGACTCTCATAGCGAATATGGATATACTGATGGAATGTGAGACGGTGTCTGGTAAGGTAGTCCTCTAAGGCCATAGTTCTCCCGTTGTCGTCGGGGTCGTCTTGGAATCTTCTGGCTGGAGGACCGCCGTGGTAGGCCAACTCGTTTTGATCGACTGGAGGAAGCGGTGGGTATTCAGTAGGAGCCTGTGCATTTCTCTCATCACGAGTGAGATTGTTCTCATCCCTATGAATAAACTGTTAGCTTTATATCGGGCTGAAAGATAGGGCTATTACCTTTCAGTATTATCTGGCACGACTGCTCGACGTGAAAAGGGATGAACAGGATGAGGACGAGCAGAAGGACGAGCAGGAGGACGAGGATGAATAGCGGGAGGATGAGGATAAGCAGGATGATGAGGATGACTAGCGGGAAGCTGAGGATGAGCAGAAGGATGAGGATGCATAGCAGGAGGGTGAGGATGAATAGCAGTGGGATGAGGACGAGCAGGAGGATGAGCAGGAGGATGAGGGCGAGGAGAAGGAGGATAAGGAGGATAAGGCATGCTTCCAGTGACAGCACGAACAAAAGGCAGCATGTAGTTACCCAACGGGGCCAGAGTTGGCTGTGCTAAAGGAATATGGGACCAAACCTGAGGTGCGTGTTGGAAAACCTGGCGTCCAAGAAAGGCAATCGGACGAACTTGCGATCCAACATATTCAGGAACAGGAATACGAGAGCTTAAAATTCCCATTTCGGGGCTGACCAGGCCCGGGGTTAATCCTCTGGTGCTATTTGTCTTTGGATTCAAACCTTTCGCTTTCATGGCCTGGGTCACCCGTTTATAGGTATCTCCCCACCCCCAGCTTGTCGTATAAAAAAGCTCTCGAAACTCACTACGACGCAGCTCAATCCCACCTGGTGCAATCTGCGATCTGTATTTCGGAATAACGCGGTCAATGATATCCTCTGCCGTGATACGGCCGTCCAGACGCATCCAGGCTTCCACCCGCCATCCTTCGACCAGGGATGAGATCTGAACAGGCAGAACATCGTAGTGATTCACGACGTTGCCAAATATCAAGCAATCTGCCTTGTGCCTAGGGACAGCCGATATAGCATGTTCGGGTTGGGGACGGATGAAATACAAAATGTCAGGTAAGTTATGAATGCTCCAAGTTGCTTGAACGCCGCTGACAATGGTAATATCCTCGTCGTGAGTAGGGGTATACATAAGGAAGTTTGTGCCATTAGGCATTGTCACTATCTTGGTGAACCGAGTCGGCCGGGGTCGTGCAGGATGCCTAGATGCACCAGACTGCAGTGAGGTATGTGAGCCAATATTCGAAGATATCTACAGCAAACTCAGCCTTCAATAGTACGTACCTCCTCTCTAGTTGGATCCCCCTGCTGAGCTCCGACAGCCGGGGTATTAGGAGCACGAGGCCGGGGGACTTCTTCGACCTCCTCGTCCTCCTCATGCTCTCTAGGTCTCTTGACTCCGGCTGTTTGAGTGCGGTCCACTGGCTCAGGGGGACTACTTTCCACAGGATGTTCGATTTCAGGATTGGGTTGTTCCTGGCTCCCGTCTAGAGGACGTGAGGGTTCCATCTCTGCGACTGGAAGTTGATCTGTATGAGGGGTTAGTCTTGTCAACTTTCAGAAGTCTCTTCACATCAGATTCTCAATATTCAAAAGAGGTATTATTCTTCTTTTCTTTTCTTTTCTTAGATATAATTCTTACCGTGTGGAGAGAAGCAGAAAGAGGCTGAATCTGGAAAGGTGAAATCCGTCAATATCAGGGCAAGATAAAGGGTGTAAAAAAGAGAAGCCTTTGAAAGAGTCTTTGTTTTGTGTTTAGGATCATGGTAACACTTATTCCGCCGACTAATCAATCTACTACAGAACTATCTGGTTACTGTGACGCTGATGTCGCGTTCTAGATGGCTGGTTGATATGCGACGATGTGCCCCGGTATAGATGTGATTTTTGCGTGGTGAGAGAAATCCTACTATGATAATTACCTTTGTAAGTTCTCTAAAAGAAAGAAAAGAAATAGCAAAGCATATGAAGATATTATTGTATATACATCTATTAATTTATTTAGTCTTTATAAGGATTTAATACAGCAGAGGGATAGACTGGTGGTTGACTTGAAGATGTTCAGAAATCAGCCAATGGCAGCCAAGAGACCTCAATTCTTCCACTCTTCCTGATCGCATCAACAACTTGATCCTCCACATATACCAGCTTCCTGTCAGCTCTTTATTTACGGATTCAACTACTGAAGATATCGATTCTAAGGCCTGCGTTCGCTATGTCGGTACATCCACTGTTTCGTTTAATTGGGCAACCTATCCCAAAATCAAGCTTAGCGAACGCACCTCTAGGGATGGCCCATCCAAGACTAAACACTCTATATATCTCCTGCAGAGTACAGCCCAATACCGCTGGAAGACGCGAAGGCATTTCCCTCGTTGGAGCAGAGAAAGTGGGAGTGTGTGTTTCTAGTCCTGCAGAGAGAGGAAAGGCCAATGCCGCTACAGTGCGTGTTTTTTCAGAGGTATGCCTTACTTTTCCTGCATTATGGGTCATTCTGTCTCCTATAGCTATTTCTGTATTTCTATTATGATTATTATTTGGAGTCTTGATAAATATGACCGAAATGATAACAAGTTTAGGTGCTGAAATTCCCCAAGACCGATATCCGCGTCGAAAAGGGACTGCGATCTCGCGACAAAATCCTCCGTATCAAGGATATCGACATTGGAGATGAGAGTCGAGATGAGTTTCTGACTCGAATTCGCGGACAGCTAGAAGGCGCTTCACAGCAAAAATGATGTTCTCTGGTGTCTATGATGCTCTTGGTTGCCTCCATCTGGCTGCCGGGAGTCAACACAGAAAGAACCTTGCCTGACATCACAGAGATTTCCTCACTTTTCTCTCCCTGCAACTCCCCCCTCATCTTTGACGCACGACCTCCTTGAAACCCCGATCAACTACAAACCACCAGACATCTATATTAATATCAGGATTCGTCGTCCGATTGCCCAGCATAATTGTAGAAATGGCCTCCACGAAACGAAAAGCGACAGAGGACTCTTTCAACACCATTAACTTCACCGCGCGCAATCCTCCATGGACCTATCTCAAACTTCAACTGTAAGACAGCGAAAAAAAAAAAAAATGCACCCATTCAAATTACTAAACAACCCCTACTAACATCATGAAAAAAAAATTTCAGAATCCATCAACCAGGCACATCCACCGCCGTTCAATGCCAACCCATTGACCCCCTCACTGCCCGGACCTACCTAACTGCAGCGCTCCACCAATTCCTCGGCCTCTCGGGAACATCAATCGCAATCGACATCCTCAAAGTCTCGCCCGAGACATCCCACTCCGAACCAACCGATAAATTCATCTGGATTCGCATCCCCCGGCAAGATGCCCCGGCCGTCGTTGCCGCAGTCAGCTCCTGGATTGGCGGAAACACTGGGTCGGATACCGTGGGGAGCGTGGCGTGGAGAGTGTGCGCGAAGGGGAATTTCCTAGGAGCTCTCGTTCACGGATCTGGGATTGGGCTATTCGCGCCATAATTTGGGGGGAGGGGGGTTGTGCTTGTGGAGATGAACAATTTCCACACGCGTTTTTCATCATCATCACCATCAATACGCACTGCGACTCTAGAGGGTATGCGGTTGCTCTGCGCTATCCGTGTTTATTACGCAGCGAATGCTATAATCGTTTGCGTGATGGCCATGTGAAGCACTGTCTGCATTTCCGGACAGAAAAGCTGGTCCGTCGGTCACCCACCAGCGACCTCTAGTGAACACGAACCAACATGGACTCGATAACAGATAGCCTCATTAGTCAATCACCATTTGGGTGACTTACACAGAAGGCATTTCAGCCCGACTTGATTCAGAAAGAGCAGATCTTACCAGGCCTCAATCTTATTTGTGAAATGTATATCTAATATTCTAGACTAGATATACTTTCTTGTATATAAGCTAGTTTTTATCCTCACAAAGCCAAGATATTGAAACAAAGATAGTAGTAATGAGTGGTGTTGGTGCTGCTCAATAGAGACTCCTGATGAGCAAAAAAAAAAAAAAAAAGAAAAAAAATATAGCAAGAGACCACCAACAAAAACAATCAAATCTCAAACGCTGATATAGAGACGCCGCCCAATTCCCATGCAGAAGACGCAGACAGAACTAACGAATGGTCTTTTTTTTGGTTTGTCTGTTTGTCTGTTTATTTGTTTTTTGTTTTTTTTTTCTGTTGTTGTTGTTTTTTTTTTTTTTTTTACCTTCACGGATATATCTCGCCGGAATTCGTTTCTCGGTTTTTAAACACTCTGCTTCATCCGCGCGCTAAGCTCCTCAAACATAGTCGGGGCATTGGATACCGACGGCGAACAGTTGGCCACGACCTTTGCCTTGAGAGCCTCGCGGATTTCCGCGACGCTGCGCTCCTTCCAGACCTGATGGCTGCACATGCTGAGCGGGTAGAGGACGAGGTTGTCTTCGCGGTTCATGAAGTCGTCGATATTGGGTGGGGGCATGCCCGTGATGATGTCAAGCTCTAGGGCGATCTGTCGACAGTATGTATCCAGGGGGAGATCGTTGACGTCCTGGCCGAAGGGGTTCTCGATTTCGCTGCCGATGGTTGCCAGGCCGAGGATGATGTAGGCGGCCACTGTGAAGATTGTAAGAATGGAGGTTGATTGGAATTTATGAGATGAGAGAGGGGGGTCAGGGGGCTATTACCAATTGAACCGGGGATGGTGATCCATTCGAGGGAGTTGTAAAGCTGGAACGGAAGAACAAGGACGTAGATCCACGCAATCTGGGCAATTGAGATGCTGTAGGCGGCCGGAAGAGGAGTGTCGAGGATACGCTCGCAGCCGGTTGCAACCTCGTTCAGTTGGCAGATGGCAGCGACTGGTGAGGAGGTTCTGTTAGTGGAACGGCTAGGCTACTACATCCAGGAGGAGTAGACATACTGGCTTGGCTCTGATGGAGACTGCATCCAAGGGTCTGGTTGGCAATGCAAGAGTCGATATATGCGGAGATATAGTTGAGAATTTCCAGAGGAAGATGGCCCAAAGGCTTCTTGGAGCGCTTGACGAGCTTTCTCGGGTTGGATTCGGCAAATGAGACGCCCAGGTATTCACCCGTGGACTTCCAGAAGGACTTTCTCTTGGGCAGGAGCCTCTCGCGGTCGTGTGCCTCCTTGGCGAAGGTGTCTAGATATCCAACTAGACCAGCCAAGTCTTCGTATCCGACATCGGGCTCAAATCGTAGCTTATGTTTCAGGGCAACGGCAAAAGCAAGAATCAAGTTGATGGCAGTCCTAGACCCTGTCAGAAAAATGGAAACATCGATTATGCGGCTTTCGCTGGGCGATGACATACAGCTTCTTCAAAAGGTCTTGCTTTCCCTCCTCTCCGTTCCGTTCAGAGGTGTTGATCCAGATGGTGCGAGAGAGATTTCGGGAAACTTGAATCAGTGTCGACCAGTATTTACGGCCATCCGCCCATCTATCCATGTTAGGCGCATACATGTAAAATCAAGTCGATAGACGTCATCGTACCTTTCATAAGCGGTGGAGCTGCGAAATGAAAGCGACAGACCAACAACAAAACCCAAAACCGTGAGGAGAATATTGTTCACGCTCACTTGGGAAGAGAAGCAGGAAATCAGCACACATCAAATCCCCCTGTTAGCCTGGTCTATTACTTACGGTTGTGGACGAAGCGCGAGATACATGTGATCAAAGTCGACCAAGCTGCGACAAAGGCAAGGGGAAGGATCAACTTGGGCATGATGCTACCATGCATTCGAAGCATGATGGGCCATTTGGAGTGTTTATCCATATCTCTCGGTCCATGCTAGTCATTCACAGCGCGTTAGTATAGTTCCACCCGCTCTCCCAAAGCCATTCCGAGACATACAAAGTAACGGTCCAGTTCCCCCGAGTTGTGTCGATCGAGCATAAACTGGGAATTTCGCGAGCTGGCGAGGTTTTCCAAAAAGGTTGGTCGTGGGGTCAGACGCTCCTGGCTCCAGCTCTTCTCGTCGCGATGAGGCGTAGGGGCAGCATGTTGGTCGTGGTGATGGTTGTGGCGCACGTCCGCTGGGACCGGAGCTATGGTCTCTGCAGCGTGACCATGAGCTACGCCTGCGTCGGCAGGAGGAGCAATGTGTGCCTCCATAGTTGATTAAAGTACGGAGTTTTTGAGACTTGAAAGGGAAAAGAACGAAATCGGACAGTCTAGCCAAAGAGCGCCCTCGAAGTAAGAACAAAGAACAAAGCTGAATTTGAACGAAAGAATTCAGGTCAATTCCCAGAGCAACGAGTAGAAAACGAATGCGAGAAGTGAAAGGTGAAATGAGGAGAAAACGGGGACGAAAAGAAGGGAAGAAAAGAGACAAAAGAGAGGAGAAGAAGGTGGATCGAAAGTCGACGTAGTGGTGGTGGATATCTCTTAATATACACTACACGGGCCAAGTCAATGCTCACTCACCAGCATCGGATTTGGGTACCAATTTTAGAATCCAAGAGAACAAAAACAGTTTGTATTCAGAACTTCAGAGGCGTTTTCTACCAAGGCCCCTCGAATTCATGCCAAATCATTCCAAGAACTGGGGACATTGAAGCCATCCCCGAGCCAACTGCAAAACCCCTCCTCCCACCTCAGCAAATCCCATCCAGCACGACTCCCACGGAATGAAAAGAGACAAAAAGATGGGTTGGACGATGTGATTTAGGCCAGGCCGATCCAGACCCCTGTTTCACCGTTTCAGAATCCCACAGTGTGAGTAGACGTCAGACGGGAATATCCGTTCCATTTGACCTCCAGTCATTGGCTAATATCATGCAGACTCTGCCGTCCAGGCCTTCGGGCTGCATGAATTGAAATTTTTTTCCGGCATGGCAGACGTTATGTGTGAAACAACTTACCCCTGCGAATTCTAAATGACGATGTCTCTTTGTGAAAGGAGATAGATATCTTTTCTTCGGGTGGGATGCTCCCATTCTATCCGGAGGAAAAACTACAGATAACCAGGTGGATACAGAGGTAAAATTCGGCACAGTGCGCGGTCTCTCGCGATTGAAGTTGAGGCCCAAGGATACTTTACTTGATCTGCGGCCGCAACCCGCCTGACTCCCCATGGAGTACACTTCCTACTGAAAGATAATCTTATTATTGGATGTGGAAAATTGCCTGGGCGCAAAGATGATGACACCAGGGATGACAGTTGGTTGGTCTTTTGTGTTTCACCGCATGTCTCCATCCAACGAAGTTCATTGGGCACTATACATAGGAGTTCAGTCCAGGGGTAAGCGCATATAAAGCACAAAACCCCAGCATAAAATATTGAACTCTTCCGACTGCTTCTTCTTATTTTCCTGGGGCTTTTCTTCCTTTCGCACCTATTGGCTAGACTCCGACTCCAGTCAACTGGCGGAGTCAGGTATAATATGCCATGTCAGTTTCAACTTCCAGGAGGCAATTCCACCCCATGATGCAGTTACCTATGTATGCGACAGCTGGCCTGCAATGCTCGACGGGATACGGAGTACCTGGAGCCGCATACGATGTCGAGATGAATACTCCGTACGAGTACCTTCATCGCAGGTCTAATTCCCACTAGTCCATACTAACGGCCACCATTGCAGCGGAACTTCGACCTAGAAGGGCGATTGAACAAATTTAGAAACTCTTGTCTCGGAGTCCGGTACACTAAAATTCCGTCACAGCCTCCTGTCAAGCCTTGTGCATTGGGTGATTATGTACTGATCGTTTAACACAATATACCTTCTATATATCTACATTTCAATTTTTTTTCAAGGAGTGACCTTCACATTGTAGTCCAGCTTTGATAGGATCATTACACAATTCAAGCTATCAATAGATCTTAAGCACCTGGATGCTGTGAAAATCACCAAGGCATGCGTTGCCGGAGATTATTTTATACTGTTCTTATCTCAACTCCTGTATATATATATAGGACCAAAGAAAGGTAGCCATGCCTCTGTCATTTGCTCCTAGTATCAAAATACATCTCTATCGTTCGCTCCTACATTGCAGAATCACCATTAAAAGCACGTTGTTTAGCCCCATGCTTTTTATAAATATTTTCCTGGTGTTCATAAAAGAGACACGCCGAGTAATACGTGATTTTTTAGGTGTCCGCGTCCTGCACGTTAGGCCTACTGCAAGATACCTGGATGACATATGGACCATGCATATTCTAGAGGCAAAGAAAGGAGATGCTTGCTGAGAGATCACTTCTTTTACTCGAGGACTTCTTCTACCCAGCTCTCTACGGCGGCTTATAACAGGGCGTGTCTTCAAGACCAAACTGCAATGGCCCTGCATTTTAACATCCAAGGAATACCAGGTGAAGGTATTTGGGAGAATATATTGTTTCAATGTTATTCACTGAACAAAAACGCCTAATTTACACTGCATATGGATATGTATAAGTGCAGCGGCAAGTGGATTACCAGGGATGTAAAAGCAGATGAGACCGGCTTCTATACATACATATTCATGAGCTGCGAAGATCTCATGTTGGGGAAACAGTCATGCTAAGCGGAACCTTGTATTTCTTATACTCTTTGTATAGCTCGGCAGCGCTGTTCTCTGAGGTCACTGATATGGGGTTAGAAGTGACAGCGCCGATTCGCATAACGAATACCCTGTGCGAGAAGTACACTTTTCAACGACTGCTCGACCGACCATGACCCCTGGAGACGGGTCTCCCGTATTCAATATAGGAATGGTTTTCCAATCATTTTTATTCTGTACGTAGGCGGGGGTTAGTTGTGGCCATAAAGCAGGTATTGTAATGGTCACTGCTATTGAGAAACAGACTAAGTACAGTGTATGAAGAAAGATATCCTCTGATGAACAAAATCTTCTACATATTTAGCCAAGCAATACCTTTAAAAATAGCCATTTCAATACCGGTAAGAAGTCCGCATTAAAAATCCAGGAGGTGGGAGAAATTGCTTGATGACTGTCTAGAGAATCATGATATGCTTCCCTTTGTCCATATACCGATCTCCGGCACGAATTCCGCCTATACTCCGTACTCACGAAGGAATCGACGAGCCAATAGGGCAAAGAAACCACATGTAACAGGCCTGGTTATAACAAATAATCTTGATTTATCTCTCCCCGATCGATGTCAGAGTCAGGAAGCAGTCCGGTATATTGCCGAGCTGCTGGAGGGATAGCATGCTCACATAGAGCTAATAGGAAGAAAGCCGGAAATTCCTTAGACCTGTACCATTCGAGATCACGGTTTTCCAAATATAGGAAGGTTAGGAGCTTTTTTCGATTGGCGAGCCGTTTCGAAACTGTTCACTTGGTTAAACCATATCAACGAATGCCTGGCTCGAACTGGCACCCGCTGTGTAACCAATGCCATGAGATGACAATAACAGCTCGCAGAGCAGACAATTAGATGGATGTAGAAGAGATCTCGGATGAAAAAATTCTTCACCCAGGAACTGTATGCCGCAGTATCTGGTAGTGGGAGTAGAAGACTGTTTATGAAGTACGTTAGTTTAACGGACAACGCACAGTATGTGATGTCTGGCGCAAGGATGTCAAGACGATTGCCAGGAGAATAAACTGATTCAAGAACCCCAGGGACGAATTCAGATGTCACTTCCAGGCTTGCAATTCTACGAATATTTCCGGTTCATGTACTGTACAAGGTGTAGCTCATCCGCCGGTTTCGAGGACAATTCGCTGTTGTTCAATGTTCGTTATGAAGGAACCTTTTTCATCCGGATATCTTCTAGGTAAGGCTCATTATACCTAGGTTTAGTAGTGCCTCAAACTCTACCTTATTTGCATGAATCAGGAAAAGCCCTCCCAGTTAGTGGACTTGAGAACTTGGAACCGAATCGAAGGAAGGCCAAGTTGATGGGCTGCTTCTGCCGTAGACCTCGGATGTTCTCTCCCCAGATCTGGGTTTTACAGGAGTCTCTCCCTTATTTTGTCCCAAACGATTGGGGATTTGTTCAAGTGATTCAAGTGATTCAAAAGGAGGCGATAATGCAGGGAAATACCTGACCAGAGCCGTTGAAGCCGAGTTTCCCTCTCTAAAAGGGGGATAGAGACTGCTACAGTGTTATATCTTGTGTCTCTCTCTGGTCGAAAGTCAGTTCCGACACGCACTAAGATCCGAATTCGAAGTGATCCCGTTGAGCTGACAGGGCCCATAATTCAGGGTGTTAGAGAGTCGCTGAATCCTACACAAACCCTCCCCTGTGTATGAAGCTCGATCAAATCAGAAACCCTCGGTAATGCAACTAAAAATTAGCTTATTGACTTTGAGCCAGGGGATCTGTGTACTGCACTCTGTAGAAGTGCCGAATTCTCGCCCGAGATTCCCATGAATGATGTCCTTCTCCGGATTGACCACTCGGTATTTCCACATGCGCGGTGGAGAAATTGGTGAACGATAGTTCGCCGGATCTGCCTATCACCATAGAATACCGAATGCAAAACATTAGGAGTGGCTGGAAGATTACTGCTTTTACCATGGCGTCTGCTATCCCAAGGTATTTCTGAGCAGAATTATTGTCATTGGATACCTTTTCGCCAGCTGAGACAGTCTGGACGAACTTACAGGTAGTGATAGTCACCCCAAACGGCGGATATTCCAAGGTCGAAAAATACAGAATAATAATAAACAATAATAATGAATGCATGAAATCAATCCTTGGTGCTCACACTAGTGCGCTATTGGATTCTCCCCGTTCCCTGCCCTGTCTCCGCGTGCTGGGGGAGGAGGAGGAGGAGGAGGAGGAGGTATAAGATATCTTTCTTCCCTACTACACCCTTGACTGCGCTGGTTTGGACCCTCGAGCTCGTCATCTTTGGCGGTAACCCAGAGACCATCTCTTTCTTTCTTCCTCGCGGCGTACTGAGATGGCCAGTGTGATCATATCTCATTCTGGGTTACTGACAGTTATACTTGGATTCCGTCGAGACCAATAACGTCAAGCCAAATTCCCCCGCCCATTCCTTTCTCTACTATCGTTCAGCATAGACTTTCCTGGTTACACTTCGATCCTTCAATCGCAGACATGCAGTTACCTCCAGCGGAGGTGCTGGCATCATGGCCCGAACCGAACTACATAAACCCTATTACTCGCGGACATTCAGTACTCATCGTTAGCATTGTCTGCTCAGCTTTGGCCACTATTGTGACTGGCCTGCGTATCTTCACCCGGGTGAAAATAACGTGTACGGCTGGTATGGATGATCTGTTGATTATCTTGGGCTTGGTACGTCTTGCCGCCATCTTCTCTGCCTGGCCTTCCAGCGTTCTAACCCTAGGGTTAGCTGTTTGGCATTGCCATGGCCGCTGTTATCTCAGTGGCCTCATTCTACTACGGATGGGACCGACATATGTGGGATGTACCCTTAGAATGGCTCCCCACGGTCTCCAAACTCAACCTCACGTTCCAAATCCTCTTCTCCTTGTCGGCATCGTTGACCAAGCTCTCGTTTCTGTGGTTCTGCAAGCGTATTTTGGGGGCAGGAGGCAAGGGCCTTTACCAGGCATACAATCTTGCTTTGATTGCAGCCATGAACGCTGTGGCAGTATCCAGCGTCCTCTTCATGGGTCTCAGCCTCTTCCAGTGTCAGTAAGTTGTGCCGTCGTTTCTGATCCTTGATCGTTGTAACAACTAATCCAGATAGTCCTATTCATGCATACTGGGATCTGATGCCCTCGTCCCCTTACTCGTGTCTTGATGACGGGGCGATTGTGTTTTCCGCCAGCGTTATCAACATCTTTACCGACTTTGTCGTCACTCTCATACCCATGCCCTTGATTTGGAACCTGAAACTCCCGACCCGACAACGGATCGCGACGATGTCGATCTTTGCGTTAGGCCTGGTGGTCGACGTCGCCGGCTCTGTTCGAACCGTGTACGTGTGGAAAAGCATGATTGCATCCTACGATACGACCTGGGTTGGGTGGCCGATTCTTCTCGCCGCCACGGTGGAAATTAATATCGGCTTGGTAGGACCTGCCAATTTTTTTTTTTTTACTCATTTTCAGCCCTGCGTGTGTCCTGACTGACGGTTTTAGATCTGCGCCTCGGCCCCTGCATTGCGACCTCTAATTGCGTTCTTTTTGCCCCGCCTTCTCGGGCCCAGTTACCAGAATGATAGCTCGACAGGCCGGCGCACTCGCTCCATGAAACAACTCCGGTCGTCGATAACGATCTCGAAGCCATCCCGAGTCCGGTCGCGCCACTACGGTCTCTACGAGGATTTGCCCATGGACCGTCTCGAGGTGTTCCGCACTATCGAGATGAATACATACACTGAGATCAGGACGTCCACCCAACCAGTGGGGAATGTGTACGATATCTGCAGGAATCCGCCTCAATACACCCCGCGACGAACCCATTTGTCCCGTCACAACAGCGACATGAGTATCCCGTACAGATACTCAACAGGCGATTGGTCCGTGACGTCGCTCACGAGCGAGATCAAGGGGCCCCTGGTTCGCGAAAACGAGCCAGGGTGATGGTGTAATGTATCCGGATGCATTGACCTATCTCTTTCGTTCCTCTCGTTTATGGGCCAGGCGCATTTCATTTGTATGTGTAACTATTCATGGGGCAGTGATGCGGGCATCCTGCATGTATGTAGATACTAGAATACATCAATTCATGTCACCGCCGTCTCACTTCATGCATCCATCTGGAGATTTTTTTTTTCTCAACCAGATCGTGGTTTCACATGCCAGACGGGCCTGTAGCGATCACTACCGATCAACCGCTTTGAATCCGTAAGCAAGGCGTTCAGACGGATAGATAGTTCTCATAAATTCGCCTTGATGCATAATTACTACTACTAGTCTACTACTACTTACAGAATACTCAGTATTGTATCTAGCAGGATCTACCAGATCTACTCCACTAAGCAGCCAATCACTCTACCCCGGGTTTTTCTCCGCCCCGGGGATTGATTTAATTTACCAGTCGGGCTTTAATTTTATCTTCTGGGGTCGACGTCGATTTGGAGTCCATTTGTAGGGGACTCCGGGGTATGCCGTTGATTCTTATCCCTACTCCTCCTCTTCCCCAGGATTAGTCTGAATCCGAGGGGACGGAACTTCTTCCAGGCTAAGTTCAAGACAAGACAAGTAGTGCTACCAGAGTAAGTTAACAATCCTCACACTGTGTATGGAGTACTCCGTACAATCAAAGCAACCTCAGGGGGGGGGGGAAGGAGAAGATTGCCCAGGGACAACCGGATCCGACAATGGGAGCATATACGGCATTTGTAGACTCGCGGACAATCTCCCCAATCTCCCTTCTAGATGATTCACTTCGCATGATTTGGTGAAAAAGTACCGAGGTTTACCCTTTTTGGCATGACATGATCTTCCAAGGTTGAGTTCGGTGATGCTCGGTGACTACCTTAATTATCTGCTGACTTGATACTTACGGAGTACTGACTTACCAGTTACCACTAACTAGTTAGTTGACAGTTAACAGTTACTCTGCAGTTCCAATGATGATGCAGATCAGATCAGTGTACACTAGTCTTCTTGGTCTTACCTTACGATACCTGCTTATTGTGTCTGGAATAAGCGGGACTATATACAATGATGAGAGGTCGTCAAACTATGACGGTAGAAAGTTGACCGAAATGGATTCAATTAGTCTAACTAGGAAATAGAGAGATGCTTGGAAGAAACATGGAGATCTAGAAGAAAACAGTGGCCTTAAATACATAAAGTAGTCACGTGTCACTATCTTCTTCTTTATGGTGATGCTACTTTATGGTGGTGCTGGTTGCATTCATTAAGTATAGCACTCTAACATACCCCCCTTAGCAACACATCTATTTCATGAAGCTATTTAGAGTCTATCTCTAACCTGCTAAAACCTAACCTCTTAATAAATTTATTAAATTTTATAGTTAGTAATACCTTAATTAGCCTGTTAGTAATATTATCCTCTCTACTAACTATTTATAACTAAATTCTACTATTTTTAATTACCTCTTTAATAAAGAAGTAGTAAATATCTATCTAGTAGAATATAGATATATAATTTAGCTTTTTTACTAAAGTAATAGTATTTATAGAATTAGTATATAAAGATATAATATCTTTTATAAACTTTTCTAGTCTAATAGCTATATATAGCTTTTATAATTATATAACTAGCTTTATTACTATATCTTATATAATAAATTTAGTAATAATTAAACTTAAAGTAACTAATAATTACTTTACTAATCTCTATATAATTAGTACTCTAAATATAAAAAATATAAAGCTTTTTATTAATTTCTTATCTTTATAATCTATATAAGAGGTATTAATATATATATATAATAAATTATTTAAATAGCCTAAAATTATTATATAGTCTAAGATTTTTTTTAAATATTAAAAAACTTATTTAATTATATTATAATCTAACTTATTAAAATTATAATTTCTTTATAGTAGTTATATTATTATATATTAAATATCTAGTTAGGTCTAAATAATAATCTAATTTAAAAATCTAGTTAGCTTTTAATAATAGGTAATATTATCTTTACCTGTAGAGGTATATATAGTATCTAGAATAATATTACTAGTATCTAGTATCTCTCTAGTTAATTTCTATTCTAGAATTATTAGTATATAATATAGTTAAAGATTATAGAAATTCTATTTATAGAGTATCTTTTAAATATATATATATTAAGATATTAATATTAGATTACTAAGTAGTCTATAAATATTATATTTCAAGAACTATATAGATTTACTTAATTACTTTAATTTAAAATATTTTTCTAGCTTATCTATAAATTATTAAATATTTACTTTATTAGGGCTAGTAACTATTATATTATTAATATAAATAATAAGTATTAGCTACTAATCTAGATTATAATAGAAGTATAAGTCTTTATTAATTACTTTTATACTAATTTTTACTAGAATATTATGGAATTCCTTATATTAAAAAAATACTAATTATTATAATTTATATAAGGCTTGGAGTAGTAAATATACTATATTATCTTATTTATTAAAACTAGTTAATTAGTATATATAAATCTTTTAATCCTTAATTATTATATTAAGATAGGTAGTTACTATATTAAATTATACTTATTTTAAATTAAAATAAGTAACTATATTGTCACGGGGAGCAGGCAGGCAGTAGGTGTAGCTAACAGTAGGGTGTATATTCAGGCTATCTGCATACAGGTATAATAGGTAGGGGTTAGGTTAGGATAAGGACATAGCTTAAAGAGCTATAACAGGATTAGGGGTAATATAGCTTAAATATAGGAGTAAAGGTAGATAATTAAGATAGAATTTAACTAGATAAGTATATAACTATACTATAATAGTATTCCCTCTTTTAGACTAAGCTCTAGTAAAGTATTTTTAAGATCTAGACTTTCTAGGGTAGCAGTAATAATAAATAATAATATATTTAGTAATATTCTTTAAGTAGCTAGTAGGAATTTTAGTAATAATAGAGTATTTAATCTACTTAATAATATATTTTAAATATAGATAATTATTTTAGTTATAGTAATTTTAGTAAGAGTTAATTACTTTCTTAATCTCTTATTTCTTAATATTATTAATTTTAATATATAGGGGTTTAGTTTCCTCTTATCTAGATAGTAAGTTTTTAATAATTAGGTATAATAATTTAATATAAAATATTAGATATATTTTTATATTCTTAAATAGGTCTAGTTTATAAATATAAGAGCTAATAATTCTCTTAATAAAGAAGAAATCTAGATTTTTTTAGTTTAATTTTTTTTAAGAATATAAGATTATAATATTCTTAGTATTTAATTAAATTAATTAGCCCTTAATATAATATCTAGTAAAATAATATTTCTAATTAATATAGTATTTATAGTAAGCTTAAATAATAACTATAATAATATAGTAATATTCTTATATTTATTTTATAATTAAAATAAATTAGTAAGTATTATAAGTTTATAGATAATAATTAAATAGAATAAGCTTAAATCTTATATAGAGATTAAAATTATATAAAGTAAAGAATAAGAAATATCTAATAATTTTAAAATTAATATTATTAGTAATAAATTCTATTATAAATAGCTATTTAGTCTAATTATTTTATAAGTAATTAATATAGATTTATAGATATTATTCTAAAATAATATTTATATATTTAATTTATCTATTAGTTTTAAGATAATAAATAATAAATAAAAATAATCTTATCTTTAGGATATAATTTAGGTATATTTAAAATATTAATATAAATTAGGGTCCTTAATTAAATATAATAAATTTAGAAAATTTATAAAATCTCTAAATATAGTTTTAAAATAAGTAAGTAACTTCTTTAGTATTATAAATATTATTATAAAAAATATAGTATTAAAACTTTATTAACTAGTTAATTATTATTATAATAATATTAAAGCCTAAATTTTAGAATAAATATATAATAAAATTAATAAATATATTTTTTTAAGAATCTTTAGATATAAGTAAGAAATAAAGTACTCCTTAATATCTATCTTAATAAGATATAAATTATTTATAAATATAATAATTATAAATCTATTATTTTATAAATTATAATATTCTAGACTAATAATATAATTATAATAATAATTTATAAGTCTTTAATTTACTTTAATAGCTAGTAATTATACTCTTATAATATTTATATATTAGTTTTATCTTTAATTTTTTTATATTAGGAATATATAATTAATTATAGTAAAATAAGAATCTAAAATAATAAATATACTTAAATAATATAATTAATAAATAATAATTATAGCTTTTTTTTAAACTTTCTAGAATATTATTAAGGGCTAGATTTTATTTATAATCCCTATTTAGGTACTTTCTTAACTATTTAGGAAGCTAGATAGTCTTTTCTTCTTTAAGTTTAGATAGCTAGAAGTATACTAACTTCCTTCTAGTAGTAGCTTAAAACTAGATTAATTATAATATTTATTAGTTCTGTAACTCCTCTAAGTATTTAAATAAAAAGCTTACTAAATTTTCTTTTTTTAATATTATTTAACTCTAATATAGTAAGTATTTATTCCCCTCCTTAAGAAGATTTTATAACCTTCTAATTAAGTTATCTAATTTTACCCTATACTTGCCTAGGTAATAATTAATTATAAAATTAAAGTAAAATAAGAATTTAGATTATTAAGCTTATTATTAGTTTAGTATCTTAATTATTATAAAATATTCTAGATTTTTATAGTTAATTATAATCTTAATTAAATATTAATATTCTTCTAGTTCTAGAGTCTATTCTTCTAAATAATAAATAATTACTAGTAGCTTCTTATTATATATTTTATAGTTATACTTAATTAAAATTATTTTTTTTAAGTAGAATTTTACTAGATATAGAATTCTATTATTATTATATTATAATAATACTCTAGTAGATATAAAATTTAAGGTATTAATTTTTAAAATAACTAGTTAACCTTAATTAAAGAATCTTAATATTAATTTCTTAATAAATTCTACTTTTAGTATTTTAAAAGTAATCTAGTAAATTAAAATCTATAAGAATAGGATTCCTTTCTTCTCTAAAATAGTAATAGGCATAAGAATCTATAAGAATCCTTTAATAAAGTATTAGTAGAATCTAGTAAATCCTATAAAACTCTTAATATTAGTAACTATCTTAAGTAGCTTCTAATCTACTATAATCTTAATCTTCTTAAAATCTATATAAATACCTTCTCTTCTAATAATAATATTTAGGAACTTAATTTCTAGCTAGTAAAATTTATACTTAAATATCTTTATATATAAGTTATTATTTTTTAGAATTTATAATATTTATCTTAAATATTTAGTATATTCTTTTCTTATATAGTTATAGATTAGAATATTATCTAGAAATATATTATAAAATATATTTATATATTATTATAGGATATTATTTATAAAATATTAAAAAATAATTAGAATACTAGTTAAGCTAAATAGTATAATTAAGGATTTATATAGCCTAAAATAGGTTTAAAAAGTAGTTAGATACTCTAACCCCTTCTTAATATAGATATTATTAAAGGTAGCTACTAGATTAATT